AGCCGGGCATGGTGGCACATGCCTGTAGTCCCAGCTACTCAGGAGTCTGAGGCAGTAGGATCGCTTCAGCCCAGGAGATTGAGGTTGCTGTGAGCTAGGCTGATGCCACAGCACTCACTCTATAGCCTGGGCAACAAAGCGAGACTCTGTCTCTAAAAAAGAAAAAAAAGAAAATTAAAAAATAAATTTTCATATATACACATATTCTTCTTACAGGTAAGTATGACAGAGTAAGCAATAAGATTTAATGCATAAAAAAATTACCTTAAGATACAATTCTGTGGGAGGAAATAAAAGGAAAATATGAGTTCAAAGAAAAAACAGAAAAGGTAAACTAACTATTAAAGAGTTTTAAGTTTTTTAAAGTATCTTGTAAATGAATGATAGCACAAAATTGCTATTGCATTATATTCCAGTGGATACTTTTTTTTTTTTTTCTGAGACAGAGTCTCACTTTGTTGCCAGGCTAGAGCTGTGGCGTCAGCCTCGCTCACAGCAACCTCAAACTCCTGGGCTCAAGCGATCCTCCTGCATCAGCCTCCCAAGTAGCTGGGACTACAGGCGTGCGCCACCATGCCCGCTAATTTTTTTTCTATATATATAGTTGGCCATTAATTCTTTCTATTTTATAGTAGAGACCAGGTCTCACTCTTGCTCAGGCTGTTTCGGATCCTGACCTTGAGCAATCCACCCGCCTCGGCCTCCCAGAGTGCTAGGATTACAGGCGTGAGCCACTGCGTTGGGCCCCAGTGGATACATTTTAACAAGTAAGGTAACAACTTTGTTTTAAAATGTTGATACTTACAAGGGACCACATTCTCTTTATTTAAACTGATATTGAAAAATTTTAGATGTCAAGTTAAAAATATACAAGTGGTACATAGTTTTCCAAGCTTCTTTTAGGAAGTACATGTGACCAAAGAAAGTATATAGATCACTGTCTTGGTCATCTCCACTCATCCCTTAAACATCCCAACGCCACACATCTAAAATCAAATTCATTACCCATTCTATGGTATTAGTCCCCTGCCCCAGAAACTAGTATAAACTCAGCTGCATCCACCTTTCTCATCCCAATCAGCTGCAAGTCCTTTTGATTCAACAATGCCCTCTCTCTTGACTCCTTCCCTTCCTTCTGTCACCACCACCATCTTCTCTTTCCTAGATGATGGCCAATAGGTTTCTAAAGGGCTGCCCTGCCTCTAATCTCTTGTTCTCTCACTTCATCTTCTATTCTCTTGCCAGAGTTATCAGTCAACCATACAGTTCAGATCAAGCCACTTCCTAGGTCCAAGTGCCTATGGAATAAAGTCCAAACACTTCACCATCATTATATGCAAGACCCTCCAGGATCTGGCCTCAAGCCATCTAGCCAGGGTCATTCCTTCTCTATGTTTTTCCACTTACCCAGTGGATTAGTCACCATTCCTGGGGTCTGACCTGTATATTCATGCCAGAAACTTGAACCCTGAATTCTTACTCTTTGTCTGTTAAAATGCCATTCAGTATATAAATTATATCTCAATACCACTAAACTTTTTTGAAAAACCACTCATGCTACAATGCCCAGTTCCTTTATAAAACTCTATGTCATTACTTCCAGTTAATCTTGCCTTCCTGAGTTCCTGCTGTCATAATTACATCTCTAATCACTACTTTCTTCATGTTATTTGATGTAGTATTTAAAGGATTCTGAAACCAGATATCTGGAGTTTAAGTCCTTATTCCAACCCTTGTTAGGTGTATGTCCTTGTTCAAGTTACTTAATCTCTTTGTGCCTCAGATCCCTTATCCATAGAATAGGGAAAATAGGAGCACCTACTTCATAAGACTTTTGTGTGGTTAAGTTAATACATTTAAAATCCCAATAGTGCCTGGCACATCGTATAGGCTAACCATGTAAGTTTAGGTTATTATTATCATTGAATTATAGTTAACTGTATATGTCTGTCTCTTTGCTATCTCCCAGTTCATATTTTAGGGCCCTAAGGGAAGGAATAAAGCCATGTTTTATTATCCATCCCTGTATTTCCCAAAGAACATTGTCACAGACTGGCAGGAGGAGAGGAGAACAGGGGTCATGGCTCTAATTCTAGAGATACCTGACTTTACCAGGGCCACGACACACCAGTAGTCAGGCAAATTTAAACCAAACAGGAGCTTGTTGGTAGAAAAGATCCCAAAATAGTGTACCAGAAAGCATTCTTTAAAATCTTCTACTTCCACTAAGTGATTTATACCCAAATGCAGAGAAGTACCAAATATATTAAGGAGTCAATAGACTTGCCCAAATTTTCACATTTTACCCCACATTTACGAAAATTCCTCCATGTGTTTCATTTATTCATTCTTACTAAATGCCAATTATGCACAAGGCACCATGTGCTAGAGTCTAGAAATCTACAATATTGCTTTCCCACACAGATCTTCTCCCTACAGAACTGAGGCCAAGGCGGGAGGATTGCTCAAGGTCAGGAGTTTGAAACCAGCCTGAGCAAGAGTGAGACCCCGTCTCTACTAAAAAATAAAAAGAAATTAATTGGTCAGCTAAAAATATATAGAAAAAATTAGCTGGGCATGGTGGCGCATGCCTGTAGTCCCAGCTACTTGGGAGTCTGAGGCAGCGCTTGAGCCCAGGAGTTTGAAGTTGCTGTGAGCTAGGCTGACGCCACGGCACTCACTCTAGCCTGTGCAACAAAGCGAGACTCTGTCTCAAAAAAAAATAAAATAAAATAAAATAAAATTAGCTGGGCATGGTGGCGCATGCCTGTAGTCCCAGCTACTTGGGAGTCTGAGGCAGCGCTTGAGCCCAGGAGTTTGAAGTTGCTGTGAGCTAGGCTGACGCCACGGCACTGTAGCCCGGGCAATAGAGTGAGACTCTGTCTCAAAAAAAAAAAAAGAGAAAAAGAACTAGAAAGAGATTCAAGGTGTTGGCCTCTAAATAAGTAACTATGTGCACTGTTCACTCATCTATAGATCACAAATCCTATACTTTCATAAAAATGTTATTCTAAAAGTTAAGAAAATGTATATCATTTAACTATGTGCATTTGTCAAATAATATAACTTGATCTAAAAGAACCGTAGACTGAATCTGGCACAAGCTAAAGGAACAAAGCTAAAAACAGTGCCTATTAGAAAAAAAAATTTGTACACCAATGTAGTATTTGTATAAGCAAATTTCTGCATAAAGGTTATTTCTTAGAACCTAAAGTATAATATGGCATCTTAAATACAGTGTAATAATGCATCTCAATTATGAAAGCCAAATATCTTTCCCCCCCAAATTTTATACAAACATTCCTCTGTGAGATTAAATTAAAATATTCCACACCAAATTTTGTGATTATACACACAAAATTCTGAGGGCTTTAAATATTCTTGCACTTGAGTGTGATCACTAGTGCCACATAAAAGTGCTATTAAGCAACAAAATATTTTAGGCTTGAACCAAACAATTTAATGCCAATTAAATTCTGGAATAAACCCAAAGTACTTAAATTCCTTGTTTTAGATCAAATAATTTAGAAGCTGCCAGCTTAATCTATAAAGGTCTCTGTAGCTATCTTAATACCATGTCTCCTTCATATCTTTCATATGGAACTTTCAGTTCTTCTCATAACCCTGAGAGATACTGTTACTGTTTTCACTGCTTACAATATTTACATAGCCAGTTTGTCTTTACTTTCAAATGAACAAAGCTGTGTTTTAAAAACTCACCCCAATATCCTGTCCAGTCATTACTCCTTCAGGCATTCTACATTAATGGTTTGTATAAATGTATGTATGTATGTACTTTTGAGACAGAGTCTCAAAAATATAGATATAGTGAGACTCTGTCTCCTAGGCTGGTCTGGAACTCAGGGGCTCAAACAATCTTCCTGCTTCAGCCTCTCCAGTAGTTCCGACTATAGAGTGTGATGCTGCACCTCACTGAAATTAATGTTTATACCTCAAACTTAAAACACATACTAATAAATCAGAAGGAACAAATATTTTTTTCAGCTGGATGTGGTGGCTCACACCTGTAATCCTAGACCTCCGGAGGCGGAGGTGGGAGGATTGCTGGAGGTCAAGAGTTTAAGATCAGCCTGAGCAAGAACGACACCCTGTCTCTACTAAAAACAGAAAAAATTAGCCAGGTGTGGTAGCATGCATCTATAGTCCCAACTACTCGGGAGGCTGAGGCAGGAGGATTGCTTGAGCCCAGGAGTTTGAAGTTGCTGTGACCTAGGCTGACGTCAAGGCACTCTAGCCGAGGTGACAAGGCAAGACCTTATCACGAGCACACACATACACACACAATTTTAACTGTAGCACACAACAGACTTTAAATAAATATTTGCTGAGTGAATGGACCTAACAAAAAATGCATCTGTGTCTATAAACTCAGGTAGATGTACGAAATAATCCAGCAAAACTGTATTTGTGGGGATATTTTTTATGGTAGTTTTTGTGACTGTATAATTATGGATTTGGTGGCAACAAGAAGTATTTTGTTGTTGAGATGAAAACAAAGTAAAAAAGCTGTTGTACATAGTTTCTGGACTGTTCTCAACATCCTGGATATAATTGGGACTTTATAGGAAAATGACAAAGCAGGGTAATCTGTTCATTTCATGAAGTATAGTATACTCTGGGATATATGGAAGCCAAAATGAGATAAATAGAAGTTAATTTATTACCACAACTATATCAGGGTGGACAAGAACAGCATGCAATTTATTCCCTACTTCCAAAGTAGGTGCTGAGGTAGAGTTTTAATTTCAGTAAGTAAAGAAAAATCTTAGGGCCCCAGTTTCTAACCTTTGCTATACATTGGAACAACTCAGGCATTAAAAAAAACATACTGGCTCCCAGCCCCAAACATTCTGATTTAGCTGGCACTGGGCACCACTTGGGCATTGGGATTTTTAAAGCTCCACAGGCAATTCTAACGTGCAGCAACTCTGGGGACCACTGTCCTAGGTTTCTTAATTACATGCCTTTCAGCAACTTACACCTGAGGTCTGGGGATCTTCAGCTGAGTGAGGATGTCTTTCTGCACCCTGGGATTTGCTGTGGCAGTAAGAGCCATCACCGGGACAGAAGGAAACTTCTGACGAAGCATATTCATTCTTTTGTAGTCTTGACGAAAATCATGTCCCCACTAGTTGGGAAAAAAAAATAGCTTTTCAGACTATTTGGATCTTCCTTCTATAAAAAGCCAATGCTGGTTAATATATTAACAACTATCTTACTCTTTAGTAAAATAGCAGACTAGTTCACTGAATGTGGGCTTTTCTTCACTTCTGAAAATACATATACTGTTGGTAGTACATATTTATTGATATTTCAAGACATAAAAAACAGTATTTACCTGACTGACACAATGTGCTTCGTCAATAACAAAACGTGCCAAAAGCTTCCTCTCATATAGATTCTCCAGAGTAGAAATCAGTCTGTTACTTGCACAGACCTAGATCAGAAATACGTTAGACATTTAAAATCATTTAAACACATCACCTTATTGATTTTGTTGTCTTTAAGTTCCGTTACAACTTAAGCTATATTAAAACTTCTATGTAAAAAAAAAAAAATTATGTAAAATCAGTTATTTCAATTTAGAAGTAATAGAACATCACAAATCAGATATTTTAGAATGTTCATCCACATTCAGCAAGCAGCTTATTTATTAGGTCAGTGGTTCTAAAACTTCTTTCTGCCTTAGTACATCTGAGGGGCCACCACACATTTTCACTGGTAACAGGATTGCAGATCTGTTACGTGCATGAATATTTGAGGGAAAATAACATATATACATATTGCATAGCTCTGTTCAGGGCCTAGAAGTAATGACATTCCAGTACCATCAAGCACATCTAGCACCCACATCTTGACGGACACATCAAAAGGACACAGAAGCCAGCTTTATGGAGGAGCTCTCCCGTTGGCCAAATAAAGGACAATGAGAATATCAAAATATATAATGACAACAGATTGTAACGCACTGAATAAATTAGGAATCCAAGAAATCATACTAATATCAATAAATATGTAGGATAAAAGGGAAAGCTATTCCTATGTTAAAAAATGTCAACTGAATTTTAAAAAAGCATAATTTGGCATCCATTACAGTAATAACTGATTTGGGGAAGAATCATCACTGGATGCTAAAACTTGTGGGTAAAGGTCTGATGACTTACAGTGTATTTACACAGTTTCAAAGTATCCCACAACAGGATATCTACTAATTACAAAGCTCCCCACCCTCCAAGAAAAACACGAACTTTACAGTGGAGAAGTCTAGCAGACACTACCTTAATAAAGTGATCAATTAACTAACATCATCAGTAATGGGAACAATTGACATCAAGTGCCTCCTGATAGGAAGCATGACACCATACTGCCACTTCTGTGATATTCCTGCGAAAATGAATGACAGGAGTCTAATCAGGAGGAAACATAAGATAAATTCAAACTGAGGGACAGTTCTCAAAACAACTGGCCTTCACTCTTTTTTATTGAGACAAAGTCTCACTCTGTTGCCCCGTGGCATCATAGCTCACTACAACCTCCAACCCCTAGGCTCAGGAGATCCTCCTGCCTCAGCCTCCCGAGTAGCTGAGACTACAGGTGACACCAGGACACCCAGCTAATTTTTTCTATTTTTAGTAGAGACAGGGTTTTTGCTCTCTTGCTCAGGCTAGTCTTGAATTCCTGAGCTCAGGCAATCCTCCTGCCTCTGCCTCCCAGAGTGCTAAGATTACAAGTGTGAGCCATCACGCCAGGCCAGAATTCCTTGTTTCTAGGAAATGTACAGTAGAATACTTAGGGTTAAAAGATATCTGTCCACAACATATTCTCAATCAAATGCTTCAGGAAAAAACAGAGAGAGAGAGAATGATAAAGCAATTACAAAAAAATGTTACCATTTAGGGTTATTGGTTGAAAGTTGTATAGGAATTCTTTGTACTATACTGTACATTAAAAATTATGAAAAAAAGTTTTAAAATATACATATTCCAGTGGCCTTTAATATCATATCTTTTTTTTTTTTTTTGACACAGAGTCTCACTTTGTTGCTTAGGCTAGAGTGAGTGCCGTTAATATCATATCTTAAGATAATGATTTAAATACAAACCTTCTCTGGAGTAACATATAGAAGTTTTATAATTGGGTCTTTCTTTGATAGTTGGAGGTAAATACTTGTAGCTTCTGAGTCAGTCTTATCACCTGTCAGATATGTAGCTGGAATCTAAGCATAAAAGTAGCAAATAATTTAAATTTTATACATTAATCTGACTTAAGATTATATCTATCCTTAGGTTTCATAAATATTTTAAGTCACATATCAACCCTATCAAAGGAAATATATTTCTCAATATAATAATCAGTACATATTTTTCTCAAAACCCTCATTAATCATAACTCAAAATAGTCTTCCCACTGTTTACTTTCTTTTCTTTATTTGCTTTACTGTTCATATTTCTAAATATGACAAATGTGAATTTAGCATCCAAGAGATTCCAGTCCTAATGTATGGCTACATTTTTTAGGTGAATGGATCTTCAGGGTTTTAATGCATAACAACAAAGAAAGAGCCATAACATCATGAACAGCTGAACGACTACCATCACTGCACTAGGACATTCTTTGGAAAAGAAAAGCAAACTAGTGGTCTTGTTGAGGGGTGGTGACTCATAATCCTGAAAACAGTTCTGTTTTCATCTCAAAGTGAAGAATTCTGTAGAATGCATTCATCTACTTCCTTAAACTCAGCCATGTGGAAAATAACACATGTATAGGCCCATGAAATGTGTATGCATTTTACAACATAAGGGCAAGAATGTGTATGCTGATCTGGCAGTAGTAAAAAAAGAAATCCTTTTCTATTAGTAAAAAAATTTTATATCAGCAAAACATAACATAGGCTACAAGTTCTTACTAAAATACATTCTTGTAGAATAAAATCAGATTGAACTACAGGAGGTTATTTATATTAGAATTTTCAATGACTTCTATTTAAATGTATTAATTGAACCCCTATGCTTTATTTTTATAATTCATGAACTATTTAATAAAAAAGTTATCTAGAGCACCGAAATATAATTATTTCTAAGGCATATTTTTATTGGTATTTTTATGTTATAACTTACATCCAAAGAAGTCAGTTTTTGGACTTGATCTACAATTAGTGATCTCAAGGGAGAAATGACAATAGTGACCCCAGGAGAAAGACAGGCGGGTAGCTGGTAACACAAACTTTTACCACCTCCTGAAAGACAAATGGTGAAAAAAATATGTCAGGTTCTATATTGAGAGCATGAAGGTAAAAGTTACAAAAGAAATTACAGGCCGGGCGCAGTGGCTCATGCCTGTAATCCCAGCACTCTGGGAGGCCGAGGCGGGCAGATTGCTTGAGATCAGGAGTTCAAGACCAGCCTGAGCAAGAGCGAGACCCCGTCTCTACTATAAATAGAAAGAAATTAATTGGCCAACTAATATATATAGAAAAAATTAGCCGGACATGGTGGCACATGCCTGTAGTCCCAACTACTCAAGAGGCTGAGGCAGAAGGATTGCTTGAGCCCAGGAGTTTCAGGTTGCTGTGAGCTAGGCTGACGCCACGGCACTCATTCTAGCCTGGGCAACAAAGCGAGATTCTGTCTCAAAAATATATATATATAAAAAAATATTACATATAATACTTAAAATGATTAAAAATAGAATACCAAGGGATACTGCCCATGGTGCTAACAATTTGCCATATTCGAGTCACCCAAATTATTAATTCAATTGAAATAATGTGTAAAATTGATCTTTTAGGATACCCTTTTTTTTCTTTTTGAGACAAGGTCTCACTCTGTTGCCCAGGCTAGAATGCAGTGGCATTATCATAGCTCACTGCAACTTCAAACTCCTGGGCTCAAGCAATTTTGTTTTTTTAAACTATATATCACATTCCTTCTTTTTCACATGTGTAGTAAGTAAATTTCATGTTGTATATATTTGGTAATGTTAAGAAAAGAGCAGGACACTAAGAACAAAGAGACCCGAGTTCTACTTTCTGCTCTACCACTTAATTAGCTATATTAACTTAGAAATATCATTTAACCTTATTATGCCTCCATTTTATCACTTGCAAAATTTTACTAGTATCAGTGGTTTAAAAATTTTTGTCTAACAGAAACCTTATCTGGAATCTCTCTCTCTCTTTTCTCTCTCTGTCTATATATAAATCAAGAAGTTGATATTGGGGTGTAAGGGACCTTAAAAATGCCCCTAGAAACTCTAAAGGACCAGGGAAAGCCCTGAAAATAACTGGATTAGATCACTGCCATAGTTCTTTCCAGTGTTAGAGTTTTGGAGTATCAAATTAGGGTCCAAAGGAAGATACAGAATGATTAACAAATTAATAAAACTTAAAATGTTGATTATTAAGCCAACATTTTCTAAATTTTAAAATCAGTTTAAAAAAATCAGATGCCCAGACAACACTGTCTAATGACAGCACGAACTTGCTAAAGGTCACAAGTCAAGTAAAAGGCAGAAGAAAGACTACACATAGGTATTGAAATTGCAAATTCTCCATGCTTCCTATTCTGTTTATTTAATATTCTTACATAATGACTATAAATCATTGAATAGCTAGCATAAGATTTAATAGCATAATGAAAAGTCCTAGAATCTTTAAAATTGGGGCTAAGAAGGAACTATGCTAAATGTTTTTCTTTTCTTTTTTTTTTTTGAGACACAGTCTCGCTTTGTTGCCCAAGCTAGAGTGAGTGCTGTGGCATCAGCCTAGCTCACAGCAACCTCAAACTCCTGGGCTCAAGCAATCCTTCTGCCTCAGCCTCCTGAGTAGCTGGGACTACAGGCATGTGCCACCATGCCTGGCTAATTTTTTCTACATATATTCGTTGGCCAATTAATTTCTTTCTATTTATAGTAGAGACGGGGTCTTGCTCTTGCTCAGGCTGGTTTCAAACTTATGACCTCCAACAATCCGCCCGCCTCGGCCTCCCAGAGTGCTAGGATTACAGGCATGAGCCACCTTGCCTGGCCAATGTTTTTCATTTAATCCACATGCAAACTCTGTGAGGCAGGTGGTTATTATCACCATTGCACACATGAGAACACAGGCCCAGAGAATGAAACGCCTTGCCCATGGCCACACTATTTGTGTGTAGCTGAGCTGGCGCTTTAAACCAAGGACGTTGGGCTATAGCTGATGATTTTTACTACCATGCAACACTACGCTGTATCAAGCAAACTGCCAGAAATGGTCACAGTCCTCAACAATGATTTTTTTGTTTACTTTCCAGACTTATTTAGACTAGAAAAAAGAATAATTCCCGAAAAAAAATTCTAGATCAGTTTAACTTTGGGTTGAAAATCTTACAGGGCTATAAACTTTATCATATCAACAACTAGAACAGAGGATATGAAGTAATATACTTTTTTTTACTATAGTATAGGAGGTTTAAGAGGTCCCTAAATGACAGAAATACTGTGTAGTGGTCTTTTTATTTCTATTAGAAGGGCTTTCGTTTAACATCTGCCAATGGATTCCTGCCAATTTATATCTAAAAATACATACCAGTTGGCATAAGGATAAAACAGTCTTCACCAAGCAGTGCAGCATTGATCGCCTCTAGCTGATTAGTTCTAAAATTATGCAGGCCAAATTTTTTATGAAAAATGTTCATCATTTCTTTTGTATGAGGAAAACTAAGACCTTGGAAATGCTCATGTTTCAGATTTCTGGATGCTAGATTTTGCTCCAACTTGTCTAAGAGAAAATAATCAACATTAAGAAAAATCAGTGCATGAATGTACTCAAAGTACAGCTTTAGCATTTCCCCTCACCGTGAAGAATCACTGGCATGTTTTCCTAGAGCACACCTCTTTAACCATTTACCATGTTTTCTGCCCAAGTCTCAAAGCCACCAGACTTCTCAAGGACCCAAAACAAGTCTTTCTTTGACTTTTTTGTAGCACCCACCACTACTATTTATTTCCTCCTTCCTCTCCTCCCTTGACCTCCAAGACAAGACAATCACTATAAATCCTTGCTCCAGTTTTTTCACCTGCCCCTTAAATTGAGAATCTTTTAGATATTTGGGACTGGGCTCTTTACACATTCTTTTTTGGAATTTTCCTAGTCCTATCATTTTAAACATCACCCATGTGCAGAGAATGCCTTGACTCTTAAGACCTGTCTGACACTCTGTTAAGTTCCAGTCCTGCACATACCTCCGCTGTCTATAAGACATTTCTACCTGAATGGCTTACCAACACTTTAAGTAACAAGTCTTAAAATAGCCCTCCTCAGCTTTTCTCCAAATATGAATCTGCCTTCTGACTTCCCTATTTCTATTAATGGTGTCACAATTTTCCAAGTCACCACGTCTGGGAGCTTTCTCAGATTCTTCTTTTATAACGTCTCTCGCATTCGCTCCCTGCTCTGCAGCCTGGCTGTTGCAACTCTGGTTCAGCACAGAGAACAAGAGGTACTCATGCCAGCTCTGGCAGTTACTCTAACCCCAACACTCAACTGTCTCAAGATAATTGCAAACATCAAGTATGACACATTCTAACATGATACAAAAATAAATCCATTAATGGTTATTTTAAAGGTCAACAGTGAACTGTAAAGAACAACCTCTGTGGTATTAAGTCATCAATGGCAAAAATAGGGAGGGCTGTACCTTATAAAACCTTGTACATAGAAACTTATTTCAGTTAAAAAATACTTTTGATAACTTTATAGGGTTGATGTAAGGTTTTAAAATTACTTTTGGCTTTTCTCTGTAGCCTTTACAGGGGCTAATTTCACTCTTCCAAAAACTTCTCTCTCGCCAAACTGTGAGCTCCAAGAGGGCAGAAACTGCATGTTATTCATCTTTAAGTTACCAGAACACAGCACAGTACATGGCACATGGTGAGCAGTAGGCCGAAAGAACGAATGTGACTGATTTAAGAAATTTCTCATTTTATATCCTTCTTAGACTGCCCTATTATTTTAATATTTTGAGACATAAAACATGTTTTTCTTCTTTATAAATTAATTTTCTTCAATCCAGAATTCTACAAATACACACATTTTTAGCATACAAATTCATCTTTGCTTTTGCCCATCCCCAAATCCTTTAAAAACTTGGCTCTCATAAGCTTTATTGTTTTAGGGACTAAAACATGTTAATTTAAAGGCAAAGCAGATTTGTAATGACTTTAGAGCCTTACTACAATAGGTTATAATTACACATTTTATAAAACTACAGCTGCTACAGAGACAAAAGAGCAACTTGCTTTTGAAATTGTGATTTGTAATTCATATCATCAGTAGAAATTTGCATAGAAACAATGTGGTTTTCAAGCAATGATGACTTGCTATGGTTCTTCTCATACAATTCCTATTTTGGACAGTTTTGTTTTCATATAATATATAAGCATTCAATTTATTTTAAACTTACCAGGGTAATTCTGAATTGACTCTGAGAAGTTTATATTTTGAGAAGTAGATGCCACTGGAAGACAGTTTGTCTTGGCTGAAGAAATTCCTTCTGATACTGATTTAATTGGCCGACCTTCTTTGATAGGTTGATAGGCAGCTGTGGAAGATTTGCTGGCTGCTAAATTTTGCATTATATTTTCCCAGTCATCATCACCACCATCATCAAAGTCATCTATGTCAAAATTATCAATATCATAGGAAGGCTGCATTTCTCTTTCTACGTCAATTACTGAAGCAGTGTGTTTATTCTGATCTTTCACAGCAGTACTTGTGAGAACATTTCCTGGGAAATAAGAGCTTTCATTTCTTTTTTCTAGCTTTGGGGTTTCAGCCCAGTTGCTACTTACAAAGGACTTCTGTAAATGGGAATTGAATAACGGCCTTTCAAACTGATTCTTTGTGGTGGCTGAGAATCCTGTCTTTCCTGGGGTGGTGGTCAGTAAACATTCCCCAGGGAAAACTGAATTTGAAGGAAGGTGTGGAAAATTTAACTTCTTCATAAAATTCTCCCCAGAAGAATCAACCTCCACAGAACTATTAAGAGAATCCGGCCTGCACCTCCACACTGAGCCAAGAAGACTGGCATCACTTCTCTTAAAATCTGCTTCAGCTAGGAGTTTCCTTCTGAAGAGAGAAAAGAGAACAATAGATTAAATCTAAGTAGTTTACTCTAGTGGGCCATGAAAGGCTATCTTCAGTTTTTATCCCAAACAGAAATTGTAGCAAAATATGTCCTTTTCCCCAAAGATTTGAATACAAATACTAAAGGAACCATTTGAAAAGTAAATCGACTTAAAACAGTGACATAACAATCAAGCCTGGATATTTTGCCCTGTTCATTTTTGACTCAGAGTGGTAGAAATGCAATCAGATATGTCCCAGAAGAAGAAAAATCAAGATACCTTATGTTCCGCTGCTCAAGTAGTTCATTCCCACAATCCAAAGCTTTCAGTTTTTCAGCAGGAATAGTATCGATTAATTTACAAATGTGGTCCATCACATGAATAAGCTGCTGCTGTAAATTTAGCTGTCTAGCTATAAGGTAATTATGTTGTTAATACGTTTCTTTGAAAACAAAAAAGACAAGATTTTCAAAGTCACGCATGTAAAAAACGTGAAGCAGTATAAAAACAAGATCATAAACAACCTTACATTGTCCTGTTATCTATCTGTGATAACAGGAAACTTGAAATCAGGTTGTATGAGAGCTCATAACTGTTTTCATTTAATTTCATGATAATTAATAATATTTCCCTTGCAGTAAGCAAGGTAAATCTCCCCTTACCAACACAAATGGTACCGTAAAGGTCAAACAGGTAACAGCCCCACCTGTTGTTACAGACTGCCTGGAATCCAGGCTTCTCTTTAATGGTAACAGCATAGCACCTAGATTGTCTTTTTGGAGACCTCCCCTCCCCAATCCCTCAGTGGGCATCTGATATAAGGCAGTCCAGTGAGAATTTCCCAGCTTTTAGACTGACTGGGAATGAGTACCTCTCTTCCCAAGCTTGACATGCTGCTGGTGGCCATCTCTGCCACCACACAAAGGAAGACAGCTTGTGAACAAGACCAACACAGGGGGAAGCAGAAAACAGATGAAAGAAATGAGGGTTTGAGATGGAGAGATGGACAGAGGAGAGGAGAGAGAAGGCAAGTGTGAGAGAAATTCCTGATGACAATGTTGGGACATCTTGAGTCCTGCCAGCCTGCTCCTATTTTTTCTATGAAGCCCTACAACTAATAAATAGAACCTCAAAGGAGTTTAGGTTTTAGATGAAGGAAAGAAACGAAATGGTTTAGGGTGGCAACGGGAAGCAAGGTGCCTGTTCCACCTCTAAGGCCTTAAGCATGTGGAAGGAAAAGCCAGTTTAGGTGGGCTGCAGGGGAAATAGCATTCTTAGGAGACAATGAGAGAAACACAGGGAGAAAACGTTCAGACACAAGAATAAGGCTACAGGGATGTTGCTGACTGACAACGGTCAGTTGAAGGGTTTAAAAGGCAGGAAGGGGAGGAAGAGAGGACAGAACAGAGGGTGTACAGAGCAGTGTGGGGATAAGCATCCGCATGGGAATGACTGGGGAAATCTGGACCTCTAATGGTGACCAAAGGAAATAGGGAAATGAGGTATGAGATAGTAAAAGTGGAACTGCTGAATTCTATTCTACTTCTGTTACTCTGTAAAGACAACAGGCATGAGATTGTAAAGAGAACCCACAATGGTCTGAAGGAAATGAAAGCCAAGACAGGCTCAGAGAGAGATACAAGAGTACCTAGCTACTGGAAACAAACCCAAGTCTTCATGTCTAGACAGATTACAACTTAAAATACAAAGGAAACCTAGAAACAAGATCTTAGAGCCTCTGTCGCTGACATGTGAGGCACCTAGTAAACAAGAGAGTTGATAAAAAGTGAAGACAAATACTGTTCTAATTTTCAAAAAAATTTGAAAGTGGTTGCCAAAAGCTACAGGCTGTTGATCTTGATGCCAATTCAAGGCAAAATTCTAGAACACGTTATCAAATGTCTTCTTTGTGGGCTCTAAGGAGAGGAAATAATTATAGAGTTAGCAAGAGTTCATACAAACAAGCCAGTCATCTTAATGCATTTCCTTCTTTGAAAGGATTACTAGACTGGCAGATAACAATAGCTACCATTTATTAAAGGCCTATAGTGTACTAAGTACTATATCTTGAATCCTGACAACTATCCAGCAAGGTAGATATTATTTTCCTTATTTTATAGAAGAAAAAACTGAGGTCCAGAGAAGTTTGCCATGGTCATACAGCCAGGAGTAGGAAGAGGCAGCTCTCTATCATAGGTCTGCATCACTCTAGAGGCAATGTCTCATCCATTCCCTCTTGCTGCAATAGACCTTGAACTTTCTGGAGTCATGTGACTGAGCCTTTTGCATCCCCATGGTTAAGGAAGACAAACATGGCCTGTAGATTTGTAACTAGTTGAATAAGAAGTGATGAATGGACTGATGTCAGTTGAGAGGGAGGCCTCTAATAACATTCTGTAGGACTCTGTCCTTGCCCCTGTGCTAGCTAACTATGTTATCAGTGAAACTTAATGAAACAGAGACAGTATAGTACAGTTGTTATCAATATAAACTCAAGCACCTCAAGACTGCTGGGTTCAAATCCTAGCTCTGCTGCTGTCTAACTCTATGATCACGAGTAATTACTTAATACTCCTGTACCTTAGTTTCCTTATTTGTAAAATGGAGATAATAAAAACTACCTTAAAGGTCTGCTGTGAGGATTAAGTTGGTTAATACTGTAAGACACAAGAATATCTAGCATATCAGATATTCTTAGGAACATCTCTAACACTATTTCAGAGTCCAAAATAAACAAACAGAAAAAATTTAGAGGAAACAAAACAACACACAAAGAACATTACATACATGCAGGCATATGCACACAGATACCATAAAAAGTACAGCTTCTACCAAATAAGAATAGAATGAATTACAGAAATATTCAGAAAACAAAAAAGAGCTCTTAGAAATTGATTTGATAAAAATAAAAAATTCCACAGAAGAGTTAAAGATAAAATTGGCAAAATATCCTAAAAAACAGAAAATAAATAGAAAATTGACAAGATAATTAATGGAGGTCTAACATCCAAATAATAGAAGTTCTAGAAAGAATGAAAGAGAGGGAAAAAATACCAGAAAGAGTTCCAGAAAGAACACAATTTCTAGACTGAAAGTGACTGAAAGTAGAAATCAAGGCTGGGAAAGGGGACTACTGTTTTTCAAAGTCTTCCAGTGCTATCAGATTATTTATACTACATATTTAGTAGAAAATTAAAAAATGAATTAGAAACAAATAAGCAAAAAAGTATTAAACTTTAAATGGACATTAAGACCCAGGCCCAGAATATATACAAGGGAGAACCAGGAGGATAAAAGGCCTAGAAAGCAATTTCTACAAAGAAGAGTTCAAAGACCTAGTAATATATAGCCTGGTAGAAAAATAAACTCCTAGGAGCTTTATGTTTACCTCAAGTGTTAAAGTTACAGGGAGGTAAATTTTGGCTCACTGAGAAATAATTTTGTAACAAGCAGTGTTTTCAAGATAGAGAATGAACTACCTTGTGAGACCATGAGTTGTTTAAGCGAATACTGGCTAACCAATGGACAGGGATGATTCTATGATATCAGAAGAAAAGGGACTATAAATTTGCCATTTATAATATAGAGCCATAGGTAGAATACATAATCTTATTTTGTTTTCAAACGTAAGTTTTTGAAACATGTGATATGTCTAAAATACTTTAGTACCGTCACAATCTGTGCTGGTTTCTAGATTAGGCTCCTGTGCAGTAATTTTCTCAGGTTTTGACAAAATATTTTTTGTTGTGCTAAGAACATCCTTCTCTTTGTCAGAGGTGTCAAGGTCCTTTAACATACTGCAAATAAAAAAATGTTAAAACAACTATACTATAAACTAGATCAAATAAATGTACAATTTCCCCCCTAATACTTTTCTACAACTGGTCAGACAATACATAACAGAAAGGATAAACATGTTTTCATATCTCCTCTATTACAAAACCTCTTTTTTTGTTTTGTATTGTTTTTTTGAGACAGAGTCTCACTTTGTTGCCCAGGCTAGAGTGCCGTGGCGTCAGCCTAGCTCGCAGCAACCTCAAACTCCTGGGCTCAAGTGATCCTACTACCTCAGCCTCCTGAGTAGCTGGGACTACAGGCATGTGCCACCATGCCCGGCTAATTTTTTGTATATATTTTTAGTTGGTCAATTAGTTTCTTTCTATTTTTAGTAGACACGAGGTCTGGCGAGGTCTCGCTCAGGCTGGTTTCGAACTCCTGACCTTGAGCGATCCACCTGCCTCGGCCTCCCAGCCACCACGCCTGGCCACAAAACCTCTTAAGTGACCCTCAAAGTCTTCCATATTCTGGTCCCAGAAGACCTTTTCAACTTTATATCCAATTATGCTTTCAGTAACACCAGGCTCCAATCATACCACATCACCCTCATCCTTCATATGAGCCCTGCATTGTCTATTTTAGGGATTTTGCCTCTGATCTCCTCTCAATCGGAAAACCTGCCAATCTCTTTTTACTGGAAATCACACTTATTCTTCTAAGGCCAGCCCAAGTATTAGTTCTCCAGCCAACTGACTATTAAGATCTTTCTTCTGAGATTCCAAAGCACTTTATATCTGGATTTCCCTTATTATGCCTAAATGTATATCTGTATATACAATTACAGATTGTATATACAGATTACACAAATCATACAGATTACACAAAAATATATTAACATATAAACATGATCAGTCTGACTGGATAGAAAAAATACTTAATATTAGGCCTGGCGCGGTGGCTCACGCCTGTAATCCTAGCACTCTGGGAGGCCAAGGCCGGTGGATAGCTCAAGGTCAGGAGTTCAAAACCAACCTGAGCACGAGTGAGACCCCATCTCTACTACAAATAGAAAGAAATTAATTGGCTAACTAATATATATAGAAAAAATTAGCCGGGCATGGTGGTGCATGCCTGTAGTCCCAGCTACTCGGGAGACTGAGGCAGGAGGATCGCTTGAGCCCAGGAGTTTGAGGTTGCTGTGAGCTAGGCTGACGCCAGGGCACTCACTCTAGCCTGGGCAACAAAGTGAGACTCTGTCTCAAACAATAACAACAACAAAAGTAACAAAATTAGTACTAAATGTGTGTTATAGAGAGGGTACTGTGGAAATCCAAAAAAGATAACACTTTCTGGAACTTAAGACCGCTAACAAGGAGGTGGGATCTGAGCAAACCTTGAATGATAGGTATGGGGAAAGTGACAAGACTATGAAAGAAAGATTTAAGACAAGACTATTCAATTTGCTTGATATTCAAGAATCAACCATATTTTCCTGAAGTAGGAGTCTGGAATGTAATTTTCTAACTAACTCAAAACAGTGATGAGTAACTATTTTTATATTATCTTTTAAATAGCATGTTATAATTAAAGAAAATGGTCATATTTTTAATAATGCTTTTGAGATTGTTGGTTTGACTCATTAGGCTCATTGGAGCTTAGGGTTATTGCAAGGGCAAAATTGAAGAAAAAGCTAAAAAACGTAACTTGGGTCTGAAGATAAAGAATCTTGAGGGGGCCAGGTGTGGTGGCTCACACATGTAATCCTAGCACTCTGGGAGGCCGAGGCGGGAGGATTGCTCAAGGTCAGGAGTTCAAAACCAGCCTGAGTAAGAGCAAGATCCCGTCTCTACTAAAAATAGAAAGAAATAATTGGCCAACTAAAAATATATAGAAAAAATTAGCCGGGCATGGTGGTGCATGCCTGTAGTCCCAGCTAACTGAGGAGGCTGAGGCAGGAGGATGCCACGGCACTCACTCTAGCCTGGGCAAGAGAGTAAGACTCTGTCTAAAAAAAAAGAAAAAAAAAAAAAAGAATTTTGAGGGACAGCTAAGGTTTTGGAAGAGAGGTAATACAAAACCATGTCTTTCTTTCCTGTTATGCAGTATCTGACCATTTGACCTCTGAAATTCAGAGGTACAACCAGAATTTAATAAAAAATGAAATAAAATGTGGCATGAAATTTGTGTGTACCACACATAAGGTATTTGTGAATATTCTATTTTAGTTTTATAACACATACAAATAAGTATACCAAGTTGCAATGGAAAATATATGGAGAGAGTCAACCTTGGAAGTAACCTTGGAAGTAACTATCTTACAATTTGTAAAAATCTGGGTAAAGTTATTTATGGTGTGACAACCCAGTAAATTATGTAGCCTTTAAAGGGAACAAAAATAGGTAGCAATTAGAAAACATTTTAGTAACAATGTTAAAAGAAGCAGAATATAAAATCATAGTTACATGTTGATTACAACAATGCAAAAATCAAACACACATATAGAGAAGGATTAAAACCAAAGATGAATAAAGAAAATGTTGGAATTGTGGGACTACTAGTATTTCTTCTCTTTTTTTATTTTTATTTTTTTTAGAGATGGAGTCTTACTATGTTGCCCAGGAAGTAGTACAGTGGCTATTCATAGATGCAATCATAGTGCACTGTCTCAAACTTCTGACCTCAAGTAATCCTCGTGGCTCAGCCTCTTGGGTAGCTGGGACTATAGGCATATGCCACCACACCCAGCAGCATACCTTCTCTCCTATTTAGAATCCTTGTTAAAATGACTACAGTGTTATTTGTGCAATGAACATTTTTAATAAGCAAAGAAAAAAAAAAACAAACCAGGTTTATTGTTATCTATTTTGAGACCACGAAGTCTCACCTTGTTGCCGCTGGGTATACGTGCAGTGGTGTGTTTCAATAGCCTCACAGGCAACCTCAACTCTTGGGCTCAAGTAAAATCGCTGGCTTCAGGCCTCCCAAGTATCTGGACTACAGGCTACCACCAGGAGGCCGCCGCTAATTTTTCTAGCCTTTTAGTAGAGACGGGGGTCTTGCTCTTGCTCAGCGCTGGTTTCAAACTCTGACTCAAGCAATTCTCCTGCCTCAGCCTCCCAGAGTGCCCAGGATTACAAGGCATGAACCGACTGCACCGGCCAAACCCGGTATTTATACAAGGAATCACTGTGACATAGAGAAAGTATTACACTGGATCTTAGTCCATTTGCCAATAATTACACTTCATCCTTGCAATTTCCTGGCTCTTCCCTGGGCCTCAGTTGTCTCATCTGTTAAATGAGAAATAAATGAGCTTAGAATCTAGAATCTATGGAGAACTTTACTCCAGTTTTTATACTTTCTACAGTTCTGGCTAATTTCTTCCAGAAGAAAAAAAAAAGAAGCTCTTAATATTTCTTTTAATTTCATTAAGAAATGAGTAACCATCACCACTTAAACTTTCCCCACCATCTTTCAAAATATCCCCAACACATCATTAAAACACAAACCAAAAGAAACTAAAAAGTTATGCTATAAACACTTTCACCCCTCCCCTTTCCCCGCCCTCTTTTCCTCCCTAATTAAGGTGATATACTGCAGGGATGTTTCTCATCAAGATTACTTGATTAAATTGCATAGTTATACTCTACGCCACCCCTACTGATTGGATTTTAGACTGGGGTGAGGACAGACGTAAAACAAAAATTAGCAATTTAAACTATTGAGGCTAGGCACAGTGGCTCAATGCCTGAGGCCGAGGTGGGATTGCTTGAGCTCAGGAGTTCCAAGACAGCCTGAGCAAGAGGCGAGATCCCATCTCTACTATAAATAAAAGATTAATTGGCTAACTAAAAAAAAAAAAAATATATATATTATAAATATATAAAATTAGCCGGTCTTGCTCAAGAAATCGGTCTGTTGCTAAAATAAAAAAGGAATTAATATTTTAAATATTAATATAAAAAAAATTAGCTGGGCGTGGTGGCACATGCCTGTAGTGCCAGCTACTCGGGAGGCTGAGGCAGAAGGATCGCTTGAGCCCAGAAGTTTGAGGTTGCTGTGAGCTAAGTTGACACCCGGGCAAGAGAAGTGAGACTCTGTCTCAAAACAAACAAACAAACAAATAAGCAAACAAACAAACAAACAAACAATTTGATGAGCCATGTGAAATATCTATTTTTCTCATAATACTACCAATTAACAATAAGCATGTCAATAATTAGCTAAAATTGAGTGAATGACAAATACAATGGCCAATTCTATCCTGTAGGATTATAAAAAAAAGAGGACGTATTATGCACTAATTCAGTTCCCAAATAATGGGGTTTTTGTGTCAGTTCAGGTCCAGGAATTTAGAAATATACTATTTTTAGAGATATATTCCTTCTGTTAAAATCAACTACATAAAATTGTTTGGAGTTTCCATGTAATTAATCATAATGGGATTTTGCATCTTTAGAATACTACCAATTAAATCAAATGTATAAATAGGGATTTTCTTGAGGCTTTCATTTGGATATAAAATAAACTGTGCAGAAGCACAAAATACATTTATAATAGAAATGATACTATATAACTAAATAAATTTAACATATCCCAGAGAAATGTTTACTTATTAATTAGCTATTTTACCTAAAGCATTTTAAAGAGGAAGAAGCAGCAGAAATAATTTCTTCTTCTGGGAAGGTGGAACAAAATCTATATCGTAACATCATGTTCAATTCATACATTGGAAATTCTCAGTTGAATGTAATTCAGCTTCTTCCCAAATTTTTCTTTTCACTATTATTCTAAGTAAAACAGGTGATAGACATAGGTTAGTTTAATAATCAATGAGAAGCACAGGGGCAAAGAGCACTTAAGGGAGAGTGGTTTCTGGCAAGTCATAAACAATCACAAGACCTTTGTATACCAGTTCTCTCGATTTGCTTAGGGATTTTTATGCCTAGTCAGTAAATTTGAAACCGCATACTTGACTTAACATTGTCATTTCAATATTTCACTCATATTTAAATAAGGG